CCCCCATCACCCTAATGAGAGTTCAGGATTGAAAGTTTCGGGTGCAGAGCAAGGTTTCCTTATTATAAACCTCCTTAAACCCTTAAACCTTTACAGGGGCGCCACGTTCATTCCTAAGTTCCTCTGGGAGCTAGCTAGCGTAAAGGGGTAATGCAATCTAAGAGGTGCCCAAGGTGGATGAAGTTAAGGGTGGCTAAGGAACCCTCACCTAGAGTTGTTGTTGTTCCTGCAAATGCCACGGCCTTTGCACACGTACACACACACACACACACCAGTTCAGAAACCCTTAGTATCTGCAGTCGTCGAATACTAGCCTTTAACCCTCGTGGGGCAGTAATGCCTAGATATATATATATACATATACATTATATGAATGCGTATACATATATATATATATATGTGCAGAAACATATGTACATATATACATATATACATATATACATATATACATATATACATATATACATATATACATATATACATATATACATATATACATGTATACGTATATACATATATACATATATGCATATATGCATATATACATATATGCATATATGCATATATACATATAAACATATATACATATATGCATATATACATATATACATGTATACATTAGTGGGTGCATGGGCCTCTTTATGGGCATGGGTCTGTTGGGACAGTTTTCATGCGTCCGGACTATATGCAATAATCCCCCGAACCATTTATAAAACTGGCCGAACTATTTATACATCGTCCGGAACCGCTCGGAACCGTTCTGGACTGTTTGTAACCGTGCTGCGAGACACCGTCACCGACCATCGCTCAAATCAAAGCCGCAACAATAGCCCCACAGCGGTTATAAGTCGCCCGGAACCGCTCGCAAAAGTTCCGAACTATTTATAAACGTCGGGTTCATATATAGTCCAGAACGGTTCCGAGCGGTTCCAGACTATCTGGAACGATTTCAAATCATCTGCTGGAAAATTTATATTTAGTTCTGAGAACATTTATTTTTAGATCGAGGAATAATATATATAGTTCCTGCACCATGCGGGATGCCCAACAGTTAAAGAGGCCGACGCACCTACTAATGTATGCATATATACATATATACATATGTATAGAACAATCTTCGTGCCCAAAAGGTGAACCTAGATTTGCCTTGCGAAGCTGCATAAGTAAGAGTCGGAAAGGAAGGTGCTGCAGCCGAAGCCGCTGATCAGCAAGGGCCTCAGTGGGCTTCGGCTAGAGTTTCTGCAGGGAAGTTGAGAAGGGAAGGGGCGTTAGGGTTTAGGTTTAGGATTTAGGGTTTAGGGTTTAGGGTTTAGTTTAGGATTTAGGGATGGATTTCAAGTGGTCTAGATCCCTAAGCCTAAACCCTAAACCCTATAGGATTGGGGGTTTTTCGTCGTTGGGCGCTCTGATTTCGAGTGCTTTCTGTGAACAGGGTGCGAACATTCATGCTCGCAAGCAAGCCATTCTTGCACAGGCAAATGCTTTTCAAGCGAGCATCAGAAGCGCGTTTGTTTGCCATGATCGCCGTTGCCCTATCCAAAAAACCCCAACGCCGACCTGGAGTGACCTCTTGATAGCCTTTCAAAAGGGAGCTTTTGAAAGAGGGACAGTTTACCGCCTTTCTTGGTGCAATTGACTCTTCTTGAAAGGTACAAGGTCGCTCTGGGTAAATCCTAAGCTGGGACCCAGGAGTAGACCCTTATTCCCTGCTTTGGGTTTCGGTTCACCTATAAGCCCCTTTCTACCCCAAAGGGGCACCCCTTCTTGTTATTCCGAGGTTCCTCTAGTGGTTCTAGGAAAGCCCAAAGCTTCCGCGCCCCCCCTGTCCCTGTCTTTTCCAAGGTGCGCCGATGAAGTGGAAAGTCCAGCCTTTTGAGCCCTCTCACGCCTGGGCTGTCGGGGCACCTGGCATGCTCTTAAGTCCCGCGAAGAACTTGCAGGGTTTAGGGCTTAGGGTTTATCCCTCACCCTACACTCCCAAGCCTCTTCCCTCAATGCCCCCCAACCCTCAAGACCAAAGCAAGAAAGACCACGTGGAATGCATGTCTGGACGCGAGGGAGATTTCTAAGGAGATGATAGGTCCATGGCCGTCTTCTCCCTAAACCCGAAGCCCTAAACCCTAAAACCTAAACCCTTAACCCTTAACCCTTAACCCTCAACCCTTAAACCCTAAACCCTAAGCCCTTCTGGCATAAAACTCGATGCTCAGTCTGCAGGGTCGGGGCAGATCGGGCTGTCTTGGTGTTCTTTTACTCGCCGTGAATGGGGTTCAGGGTTTAGGGTTTAGGGTTTAGGGTTTAGGGTTTAGGGTTTAGGGTTTAGGGGGTTCCGAACTCAGGGGGTTGAAACACGCACCCACCGACACAAGAAAGCGCGAACAAGTTTTGGCTTCGTAGGTATATGGCTCAGGCCTCCGACAACAAAGGCAATGCCAACAATATGCAAGTATGGCGCGTCGTGATCCTCAGACTGCACGTTTCGCGATGCAACTCTGGGACTTCGAGCTGGTGTTTTTCAATGCCTGCGTCTGTAGCATGATTTCGATGGACTCGCCAACGAGCGTGTTTTCTGACATTTTCCGACCCCCAAAACGATGAAATGTTCCTTCTACTTAAGCCATGGTGCTTGCCAGAGCCTTGTCGCAAAGGGAGGTCCCTCGCACCGTCGCTGTAGTTGAGATCAGTCCAAGAAAGGCTCCGGCAGTGATTGCAGTACCGGGAGTCACCCAACAGGCCCTGGGGGGTTCAGGGTTCGGGGTTTAGGGTTTAGGGTTTAATTAGGGTTTAGGGTTTAGGGTTTAGGGTTTAGGGTTTATGGAAGGCCCAACGGCCTTCTGAAGGGCTTGATATATGGGCTTCAAGCAAGTTCCTAACAGCCCCCAACACTTCTCGGAAGGTTTTCGAACGGCAAAAAACTCCCGCTCTAACCCTGGACAGACAAGACGCTGCTGTGTATGTATATATATATATATACATATATACATATATGTTTATGCATTTATTTATTGATTTATTTATTTGGTAGCATATGCATATATATATACACACACATGCCCTGCTGTGGTTTTATGATGTGGTATGGGTGTGGACTGCTTCTGGGCTGCCTGGGCATAACCGTAGCCGTGCATCCGCGGATCCTCACAGCGAATCTTGAATTGAGGCTTTAGGGTTTAGGGTTTAGGGTTAGGGTTTAGGGTTTAGGGTTTAGGGCTTAGGGCTTAGGGCTTAGGGCTTAGGGCTTAGGGCTTAGGGCTTAGGGCTTAGGGTTTAGGGTTGAGGGTTTTCGGCTGAGGGTTCTTAGGGGGGGGGGGGGTCAATAACCCTATGACTTTAGGGCTTAGGGTTCTTAAGGGATGGGGTTCATGGGGGGTAAGAACCCTATAACTGTATGCTTAGGGTTGAGGGTTGAAGTTGCGTGGGGTTGTTCTGAATGAGGGCCCCTTTTGGACAAGGGATCCCTTCATAGACTACCCGTAAAGGGACGCTGTACCATCTTGCAACGGTTTATACCAGCTTGCCACGTGCGGGATTTGCTGAGGGCTGACAAAGCGCTCGCCACGCTGTGCAGGCGTCAGGAGCTCAGAGTTTTGTGCAGTGTTCGGCGAGTTTCGGATAAGGGCTGATGAAGGATGACCTTCAGAATGCAGGGGTTGCGGGTTACAGAGCGCTGGGAGTTGGGTCACCCTACCGGTTCCCAAGACGATGAAGGTAGGGATTGTTTCAGGATAACTGCTTCGATTTCCTGCCGATGTGAATTCGCTACAGTTTCTGTTACAGTTTGTACCACCAGGACAGACATCACACCTTGGCCACAACATCATCCAGCCAATACTTGTGTTGAATCTCACTAGGTCGTGTTGAAGATTTGCTGTACAAGAAAGTAGCCGTGCCACTCGCTTCGTCCTTTTTCGAAGCGAAAGGTTGGTTGGTACTAGCCCTGACAATTGCTTCCATTCCCGGCCTTTGCCCGCGATCAAGCCTGCAGAAGGCTGCAGTGACATCTGAGAGGTGAGAAAAGTTGGTAGCGCGACAGCCATGGCGACTACGAAGAAGCTTAGGGATACTTGGAAGTTTTTTTTGATTTAGTATAGGAACCCTGAACCCTGAACCCTGAACCCTGAACCCTGAACCCTAAACCCTAAACCCTAACCCTAAACCCTAAACCCTACTAGGAAGACGGTCGCTGTGGTTTGGGCATCTGCTGGTGGCCTTGGCGATGTTGGAAAGCTGCTGGGCTACGGAATGTGCCTGTTCCCCCCTTTTACTCACAGCTCCTTAATGGGGATTATAGTACCCCCCTATTTACAATCCCTATTAAGGAACTGTTAATAAGGGGGAACATCCCAAACTATGTGTAACCCGAGCCTGATGCCCAAAGCCCTCATCAATGTGCTTGGCGCTCCCCTTCTGCGCCTCTCTGAAGCTGTCTCTTCTTTTTGTTCTCTCTCTTCTCTCTTCTCTCTTCTCTCTTCTCTCTTCTCTCTTCTCTCTTCTCTCTTCTCTATTCTCTCTTCTCTCTTCTCTCTTCTCTCTTCTCTCTTCTCTCTTCTCTCTTCTCTCTTCTCTCTTCTCTCTTCTCTCTTCTCTCTTCTCTCTTCTCTCTTCTCTCTTTCTCTCGCTCCTTCTCGCTCTCGCTGGCCCTCTCTATCCTGGACTACCAGGTCGTCCTGAATTCCCTCGGATGCCCACAAGCCACAAGCGAGTCGCAATCTCTGAAACTCAGCCCCCGTGGATTTCCCAACTGTAACCCTTGCTACAAAGGGTACCCCGTTCCCCCCCCCCCCCCCTCCGCCCCCGCCCCTAAACCCTAAACCCTCAACCCTAAACCCTAAACCCTAAGCCCTAAGCCCTAAGCCCTAAGCCCTAAGCCCTAAGCCCTAAACCCTAACCCTAAACCCTAAACCCTAGCCCTAAACCCTAAACCCTAAACCCTAAACCCTAAACCCTAAACCCTAAACCCTAAACCCTAAACCCTAAACCCTAAACCCTCACTGAATGAGGATGGCGGCCATGCATGCAATGCGCCGAGATGGTGTGGAGCTCCGTGCCGTCGCCATCTCGGAGGACCCAACGGTTGCTTCAGCACTTGAAGGTTCATGGCTTTGTAGTGCTGTACTGTAACTTTAGATCCTTAGCCTTTTTGGGTTTATTGGGTTTCTTAATGAGGGCAGCTAATTTTTTTTTTTAGCGCTACCCTCCTAAGTGCAGCCAAGATGGGTAGTTACAATAAGTAGGGCACCGTAAATGAGGTTATAACCGGCGATATATAGAGTTATACCTTACTACTTAAAACGCCACGAAGAACTACCCATGAACCTCCAAGTAGAGCTTGGCATAGCTTGACCGACACGGTCATCCTTCCTGCGGGATCCATCGCGGTGTTTTGCAGACACAGGAGTATGAGATTCTCTGAAGTGGGGATCGATTTTAGGATTCTTGGGTCTCGACCGTCCACACTCTAAACCCTAAACCCTAAACCCTAAACCCTAAGCTGTGTGCAGGACGGCAAAGCCACGGGCATTGAAACCACCGACATAAAACCAATCTCTCGCCGGGAGCCCCTGCAGCAAGCGATGGAAGGCTGTGACATCTTGAAGTTGAACATCACGGAAACTTAGGGGCACTTGGAAACATTTCTAACTTCTGGGAACTACAATCCCCAAAGGAACAGCTGAAAATTATACCATGGTCCCTCCCAGGAAACAGCTACAATCATAACTTGTGCTAGGGTGCCCCACCAAGTTCAGTGTAGGACAGCAGCAGCCGGGAACAGCTCGTGACCACGTTTCAAGGCTGCGACGCGGTCGTCGCCTGCCCCGGAAGCCGACAAAGTGGCATCGCAAACACTTGCGCCAAAGGCCTTAGGGGGGGGGGGGGCAGAGTACCTTTGACCTTTTTGGTTCTATATATATATATATGCAATGAACGTATACATATATATATATATATATATCTATGTAATCCTATGGGTGCAAAAACAGGTTCATCTTTTTGGGGCTAGGGTATTCAGCCCCCTAAGAGGCGCTCGCCAGATTGTGGATGCAATGCAGCAGGCAAATGTCTCTCGGCTGGTCGTGCTTTCGTCCATGGGCATTGGTGATGATTACCTACCCACGAACTGCATGAAATGCTTTTGGGGCTGTCTTTTGACATGCGTGTGGCCAAGCACGCGGAGGGACCTCGAGCAGATGGAAGCGATTGTGACGGAGTCAGACTTAGACTACCTCTTGGTGCGCCCAATGGGGGTCGACCCTGGTGAGCTGCCCCGAAACTTAGTCGCTGAATACGCGCACTTTACACTTCTTGGGATACGATAATCTCCTATAGAACCGAAAATTGTACACTTTTGGGGTGGGGGGGGGCTTATGCACTCGGCATCTCAGGAAACTCCTACAAGCTTGTCACAGGCAAGGGTCAGGGTGGTCTTCCGATCACAGTGTCCAAGGATGACGTGGGCCTGTGCCTTTTGGAAGAGGCCATCGCCCCCTCCCACTCGAAGACGGCTGTGACAATCGGCCGAGACGACGCAGCGAAGACTGCCGTGTAGGCCGTTGGAGTCAGCCTCCCGGAGAGCACTCTCCAGAGCGAGAGGGCAAGCAACGCCCGGAGCCTGTTTACAGAAGCTTCTTCTGTCCATTCGTCCATCTTCTTTTACCTTGCGCTGATTTGGGGTTTAGGGTTTGGGGTTTAGGGTTTAGGGTTTATAATTTAGGGTTTCAGGGCCCCCTTGATGGCCGGAGGCCATGGCACCACGACTCGACGATTCGAAGCATCTGGCAGTGAGGTCACAAAAAAAAATGAGAGCAAGGGGGCAACCCTGAGTCCCCAAACCCCCAAGGTTTAGGGTTTAGGGGTTAGGGGTTTAGGGGTTTAGGTTTTAGGGTTTGGGGTTTGGGGTTTGGGGTTTGGGGTTTAGGGTTTAGGGTTTGGGGCTAGGGCTTACACCCGAACCGAGCGCAAGAATTAGCCTCATCCGACCCCGCAAAGTAGAGCCTGCCATTGTGTGGGTGCTATGATCCTCAAACCCCCTAAACTTGCCCTAAACCCCCTAAATCCCCTAAATCCCCTAAATCCCCAAAACCCCCTAAACTCCCTAAACTCCCTAAACTCCCTAAACTCCCTAAACTCCCTAAACCCAAAAGCCCTAAACGCCCTAAACCCAAAAGCCCGAAACCCCGACTGCTGTGGGAGGCCTGGGGGCGGCTATTGGGCTTGGTCGTTTACCTCAGGGCTTTTGGGGCTTTTGGGTGTCTTAGGGTGCATTTTCCTGGGGGTTTAGGGTGTAGGGCTTATGGCTTAGGGTTTAGGGTTTGGGGTGCAAGGGCCAAAACACCCCTCAAGGCCAGGACGAATAGAAATTGTATGTGGTTCACTTCGAACCTACAAGTCCGCTGGGCTCGTCAGCGAAGAGCAAAGGAAACGATCACCCAACACCCGGGTTTGCGGACACTAACCCTCCACATTTTCAACAAAGCTCTTTCGCTCCTCAAGGTAACACGTGGACATCCGTTTCAACTTCTGACGCTGCCCCAGAGTGACGGTAGGGATCTGACTGGGGTTTTGTGGCTTAGGGTTTAGTGGTTCGAGGGTGGTAGGGGTGCGTGTGCGAGGCCATCAGCGAGGGGAAGATGCTTTTCAATTGTGTAAGGCGTCTCCCCTCAAGGGGGCGGCACGCCATGCGAGCCATTCACAAAAGAGCGTATAGAGCAAGACTTGGAAGAGGTTCAGATCCTCCCTGCGTTTAGGGTTTTAGGGTTTAGGGTTTTGGGGTTTAGGGTTTAGGGTTTAGGGTTTACGGTTTGGGGTTTGGGGTTTAGGGTTTGGGGTTTAGTCTACAGGGTCTGAAGGGCCTGAAGGGTTTGTAAGGTTTGGAGGGCTGGTGTTGAGGATTTAAGCTTGGGGTCTGCAGAGGCGGAGTGTCGGAGCCGCACTGGTGAATCCGAGTATGCAGTTCCCTGCACTCGAAACCCTGTCGAGGGTTTAGGGTTTAGGGTTTAGGGTTTAGGGTTTAGGGTTTAGGGTTTAGGGTTTAGGGTTTAGGGTTTAGGGTTTAGGGGGTCTAAGGTCTTAGTAGCTGAGTGAGTACACTTTACATGTTTTGGGGTTCTATAATCCCCTAGAGAACTGCAAGTCTACACTTTTGGGGGGGCTTGTGAACTCAGCAACTCAGCTGTGCCCTCTCCACCTAAAGCCCGAGACCACCAGCTCTAAATCCCCCACAGGGGCTTCTCAGACAGCAGCCTAGACTCAAGTGAGGGTCAGGCGCAAGAGGAACTTAACCATCGGCAGAAGCCTTGGCTTGGACCCAGAAGCAAGGAGAAAGCGCCAGAGAGAGAGATAGACAGAGCAGTTTTTTGTTTAGGGTGTAGGGATTAGGGTTTAGGGATCAGTTTTCGGAGGACAGAGAGCAGAGAGAGGAAAAGCAAGAAATGGCGGCGAGAACTACACTCTTGCAGTTCCGAGTTTTTCTGCCCAAACGAAGAGAGTGAGCTGCCCATTGCAAGCGCACATGATATGCAGCTTGCATAAATGTGTACTTGAGATGCATCCATTTGGTGCCACTAGTGCATGACACATGTCCCTAAACCCTAAACCCGAAACCTTGTCTAACACGAGCTCAGCCCCCGAATGGGTTGAACATGGATTCCCGGGCAGTGAAGCGCCACGCGGCCGATGACGCCTGACGAGACTGTTTTTGTTGCTGTCAGGCTACGGCCATTCGTGGGCTATGAAGCAAAGCAGCCGTGCTTTGCGGCTTCCAGGAATGTCATCTCTGTCCCTGGCCAGAAGAAGAAGACCGAATTTGCATTCGACTGTGTGATGGACAGCACGGATGCATCCAAGGCAAGCTACGTATCCCAAGAGAGATGTTACGACATGATTGGGCGCCGAATGGTGCAACAGTCTATGTCAGGATACCACGCGTGCTTGTTTTGCTATGGACAAACCGGTAGTGGGAAGACATACTCTTTCGTTGGCAAGAACAAGGAGGCTGAGAAAGGCTTGCTGCCTCGGATATTGAGCGACTTGCTGAACCAGAATGAATCACTTCGGAGCTCGGGACAGGCGTGGTGTTTTGAACCCTTATTTTGAGCCCAGTCTTGCAAAGAAACGTACAAGGTTTCCTTGGGGACCCAAATATGGCAGCCTCAGGAATTCCTTCTGGGTGTTTCCGGGTCGTGTTTTGGGCATCTTTGTCCGGGTGCTTTCATTGGAGAACACCCCCCCCCCCCCCCCCCGCAGGTGCACTGCCGCGCACAAATTCTGGAAGTGTACAACGAGAAGTTGCGCGACTTGCTGAATGATGCTTCTGCCAAAGCTCCCGAGATTCACGTGCACCCGAGGGTGGGCGTGTATGTTGATGGAGCTGTTGATGCGCCAGTTGATACCTTGGAGCAACTTCAGACATTGCTGGATACTGGGTTGGCGAGGGCAAGTGTTGCAGCAACAGCCAGAAACTCCAAGAGTTCTCGTGGGCATGTTGTTTTCCGACTCCTTGTGGAGAATCATGAAGAAGATCACACAGTTGTGTCTTCTGAGCTCTTTTGCGTGGACTTGGCAGGGCGGGAGAATGAGAAGACCACCAAGGTCACGGGCGAGAATTTCATCGAGCTGACCTTCATCAACCGAAGCTTGATGTGGCTTGCCCAGTGTATTCAAACCCTTGGCCGGCAGGCGCGCAAGAAGAGCAATTCAAAAGCGCCTGATTCTGGATCTTCCGGATCCTATATCCCCCCTGGGAATAGTTTTAAAATTTTTGTTTATAAACCCAAGAGGAATATTGAAAGTGTTTTTTTAAATTAAGGTTCTAAGGGGAGTATAGGATCCAGCCGGGCCAGCTTCCGGAATTCCAAGCTGACGCTGCTGCTCATCAACGCGCTGACGGGCAACTCAAAGACGAGCCTGCTCGCCACCGTGAGCCCAGCATTGGTGAACTTGGATGAGAGCATGGTCACCCTCAACTTCGCGCAGACGGTGAAGAGCATCAAGGTTGCTGCAAGGCGCGTCGCCAAGATAGACAAGGATGCCCTCATCAAAAGCTTGAGCGAAGAGTTGCAGAGCTTAAAGGAGCAAATCAAAAACGGCACGGCTACAGAAGGCCAAGATTTGCACTCCCAGGCCGAACTCATCCGAAACATGATGGAAAGCTACAAGGCGAGGTGGGAAGAAGCAAAGCAAACTGCCGATTTGCTGCGGCAAAACCTCGCCATCTCCAGGTGGAGATTCGCCAAAGCCTCTGTCAAACACGAGCTTCGTGACGACGAAAAGCCAAACGAAGCATCTGGCCAGGAAGCCAGTGATCGAGTCCAGACAACCCACACTGACAAAGCCACGGCAAATGATGCAAAAGATGCGCAGAACACAAAATCTGCTCAACAAGCATCTGGCCTCGGTGGCGTGGAAGCATCTGTTGGTTCCGTTCGTTCTCTGCCGGCCACGCACCCATCCAATGCGTCGCACTGGTGCACACCCAAAGACAGCTTCTTGGCCTCCAAAGCTGTTTTTGAGCATCGTGCGTGTATACTAGGATGCCCAGTAGTAATTACCCTTATTCCTTTTTTGGGGGGTTTAGGTTCCCTTATAAACCCCTTTAAGCAAAAAAGGGCACCCTTTTTAAGCTTAGGTTACTGGGCAGCCTAGTATAATTTGTTTTGTGTAGATGTGTATAGACTCTAATTTGCATGGTCAGCTCCCAAGATCATGGTCCCTTGTTGGGGTGCCTAAGCATTCTTGGCCGCCTATTCGTAACCCCCACAGAAGGGACCCTAGTTTAGAATAGAGTTTTTAAATATATAGTATAGTATGTAAGCTTCTAGTACATAGTATCTAGTATATAGTACTACGTAGTATATAGTAGAACATAGTAAATCGCATATGGTGGAGAGTAGATATGGGTCTAATCTAGGAACATGGAGGAGATGTAGCTTGATGTAGCTAGCTGCCTAGCTCCGTGTAGCCCCCAGGGCATATTCGCAGATCCAGGAAACAAGCCTGAAAGCAAAAGTACCTCTCGCTCTGTGCTCTGGGCTCACGTGGGCCTGTCAGACGTGTCGCATGATTCTGAGGTTCTACGTGGCTCGCTTGAAATGGCAGTTTGCGAAACCTGCCCAGAGCTTAGCTTGCCTGCTTTGGAATAAGGTGGCCACCGACGCCAAGTGTCTCGGCTGAGAGGTGTTGACCAAGGGTTTGGGGTTTAGGGTTTAGGGTTTAGGGTTTTGGACTTAATTGGGTCTGAGTTTCGGTCAGGGAGGGGAGGCAGAAGGATTGGAGAGGGTGTTTAGTGTGGAAAAGAGAGTTGTGACATGAGCAGCAACAAAAGAGTTTTCGGCATTGCTAATGACTTGCCCTGTACGGTCTATGAAGCCTCTTTAAGGCCCTTCAGAACCTGCTTGGGTGTTCGTGAGGTGTCTGGAGAGGGGACCCCTTGGGGACCAGCGCGGACCCCCTGACACTCCCCCAAAACTCAGACGTCGCCGGTTTTCTGGGATGCCAGCAAAGCGCCTGAGAAGGCGCTTGCACCCCGAAGGCCGCCCAAGGCCCTTGGAAGCCCCAAATCTGCAAAATCATGGGGTCCGTTTGCCATCAACATCTGCGCCTAATCACTACTGGAATCGGCCACTGGGTGCCCCAAGCTGGGGTACCAAAAGTTGATACAGATTTCGAATGAAAAGGGATTGTAGGAGGGTGGGGTGAGACCAAACACATGGTGATGTCAAAGGGGCCTCCCTCAACCCCCAACCCCCAACCCCCGACCCTAAACCCTCAACCCTCAACCCTAAACCCTAAACCCTAAACCCTCAACCCTCAACCCTCAACCCTAAACCCTAAACCCTAAACCCTAAACCCTAAACCCTAACTCAACCCTAATGCCTTAGCCCTGTTGGCTTGTCTCCATAGAGGCCTGGTTCTTCATTCCAAAGACCCGAGCTTCAGCGGCCACCCCATCTTCCATGCCGCAGAAGAAGGTGCTGCATGATTTATGTAAGGTTTTAGGGTTTAGGGTTTAGGGTTTAGGATTTAGGGTTTAGGGTTTGGGGTTTGGGGTTTAGGGTGTCGGTGTAAGGGTTTGGGGTTTAGGGTTGATGGGGAATTAGGGGGGCCGGGAAGGGTTTCAGTGAGACAGTCTGACCGTGGCATCCCTGAGGGCGCCGGTACAGTCTGGGCTGCATCTTGCCTGCACTAATACCCTAAACCCTAAACCCTAAACCCTAAACCCTAAACCCTAAACCCTAAACCCTAAACCCTAAACCCTAAACCCTAAACCCTAAACCCTAACCCCTAAACCTAGCTTGGTTCCTGGAGTCCCAAGACACTTACTCCCAATGTCTGCCAATTTGCGTTTCAGCACGATGGCCACGTTTTTGGATCGCAAGGTTCACCTCACTGCGACTTTCGCCTGCCAGAGACGCCCTACTTCTGTGGCTCTGCTGCGTTGCTCCAAAGAGCCAGCGGTGCCCCTGCAGCCCAACTATGGTGCAAGAGTAGGTCTTGGTACACACCTGTAGACTGTTCTGTCCTATTTTGCGCTCATACTTGTTCTATATTACTATATAGTATTGCATGAATGCAGTCTCAACAATGCAGACATGTCTCACAAGGCTTATGCATGTCGGTAAACTTTATCTTGCCACCGCAATCCTTGGCTACACTAGCAAACCAGCGTGCGGGTACCTCGTGAGATCCGCATGAAGCTGCACCAACTGGTGCTAAGGCGGCGAGATATGTACTGTGTGGCAGGACGTGGGTCCTTGTGCCTTATCCAGTTCTTGCACTTCTTTACACCTCCTTCAAAAAGCACACTTAAGCAAGCGGTCCTCCATGTCAGGGGGGGGAGCGGGGGGGGTAGTTCCAAGCCTGGCTTTGAAGTCAGGTCTTTTCTTGCGGGGAGTTTTGAAGTTTGGACCAGCACTTCCAATTTATTTGTGCTGTGTCTTCATTCTCTTCAACATGGACTTCACGTTCTTGGGTACTGCTCTTTTTCTGTTCCGCAAGAAGATGCTTACAATTGGTGCTTTCGTTCGCGGGACTCCGCCATATTCGTAACAGTATTGGCAACGTAGCCGCAATCAGTTATAAACATGATAATCAAAAACCCTAAACCCTAAACCCTAACCCGACCCTAAACCCTAAACCCTATCATGCAGTTATAAGGGATTATAAGGGTTTGGGTAAACAGGCATTGTCTGTCATAGTTGCCCCTACAGGAGTCCGGCCAACTTTTCATCACGCAGACAGGGATCACTCCACCTCCATCGGCTGCGATTGAGGCTGGATGTAGGGTTGGATGTAGGTCGGGATGTCCCCCCCTTAAGCTAACAGTGCTTCATAGGGATTATGACAGGGGTAATCACTACAACCCCGTTTACGGCAAACCCTAAACCCTAAACCCTAAACCCTAAACCCTAACCCTAAACCCTAAACCCTAAACATCCCAAGATATAGGGTTGAAGTGAAGGGGCGTTGCTGGTTTGAGATGGGTCGAAGATGGGGTTGACGAAAACAGGGACCCCGAAAATAGACCACCCCAGATGTGCTTTTCAGGGGCGAGCAGCAGAGGAGCCGAGATGGGCTCAACAGTTTAGGGTTTAGGGTTTAGGGTTTAGGGTTAAATCATAGCATCTGGCTGGGACCATGGTGGTTTGGCAGCCATCATATTTGAATCATTGCACAGCTCCCGCATCATTTTGCCATCTGCCATTTTTGCTGGGCTTCCCTCTTAGCCTGAGCTTCCCTGGGGTTTCCCGAGGGTTTCGGGTGTAGGGTTTAGGGTTTAGGGTTTCGGGTTTAGGGTCTCCCTGCTGCGCAAGGTGAATGGAAGCTCCCGACCTGCGGCCCAGGGAGGAGACCAGGAGCTGCGGCATCAGGACTTGGTCATCTTCGGCCAGACATTCAGGCGGATGCCTTAGTACATGCAGTGTATATGTATGTACATGACCTTAAGGTAAAGCTCATATTCTGATGTAGCAGTACATGCACTATATGCATATACATATATGCATACCTATATATATATATATGTGGGTATATACTTCAAGATAAAACACTGTATGTACTACTATGTATACGTGAGGGAGTATACATACGGTATCTTCTTTTGTTTGCGCATACTGAAAAACTCGCTATTTTTCATGAAATACAAAGCATAGATGTAAATATACATATAATAGACTACACATGTAAATATTTTGCTCTCTGTCCATTATCTATCTATATGCATATACATAGATATATATATATATATAGTAATTGTATGCACTCTCTCTTTCTCTCTGTAAATCTGCTAATTACAGGCTAAGATAGCTCTAGATTGTTGAGCAGAGTCACGCGCCTTTTGGGTTTTGCGGAGGTTCTTTGTCTTCGCCAAGTCGGATCCGGCCGTCCGAGCCTTGCTCTTTGGAGGCATCGCGCCATTGAAGGGTTCGCGCGTTGTTGGCCCTGAGCCTTTAGCGGCAGATAGGGTGGTTTCCGAAATTCCGGGTACCTGCTTGGGGTTTCTATTTTTCGGTGATCCTACTATGTGGGGATCCATATTAGAAGTCCCCTATTTTCGTAAGCCCCCTTCATACGGCAAGATGTTGTTAAAGGGAGGTCATTGTTCCTTCATGTGGATGCTGAGGTGTGGGAGAGTCATGTCAAGCCAGGTGCCAAGTCATGTCGAGGCGATCGTGCGTTAATTCGAAGTTATGACTACAGCTGCCTTACTTTGAACCCTTCTTTTATGATTTCTAATTCTTTCCACGATAAAACAGCAATGAGCAGCGACGTCTCCCGGTTCGTGCTTAGCCCCTTGCAACCCAAACCCCAAGCCACCAGCCCTAGCCCGATTGATTCATTTCGCAGAAACAGGCGCCGGCAAAAGGAATGAAGAGGCTGGAGGCCTGCTCTGTGCTATATCTTTCAGGGTTTAGGGGTTAAGGCTTACTCAAGTTTGCTCTGTATATGATTTAGGGGACACTGTTTCGGGGGCCGATGGACAGGTATCATGGACCAGACCGGGACTCCCACCAGGGATGACTTTCTGAAGCGAGTTGTGGAGGCCCGGAGCCTGGTTGAAGAGGCAACGGCCTTGTCCAAGGCCTTGGGAATCGATTTCCGTTTCGAGCTCCTCACCCTAGCCCCAATCCTCTCTGAGGGCGTCACTGAGGCGGCTCCCAGTGTCTGCTTTCGTGTCTTGAAGGCTGGGAAGCCTGCGGTAGAAATTGCGCTTTGGGGCTTCAGCCTTTTTCAATCACGGCTGCAGCTCATGAGGCAAGCAGGGCAGACCTACGGGGCCTACGGGGCCTACGGCCTTCACACAGCGGGCACGGCAGGTATAGCAGACAAAGCAAATTTGTCAGGTATAGCCAGTCTAGCAGGTAAAGTTAATCATCGGCACACCCTGCCGCAGCCCTGCCTGGCCAAGCTGTATCAGCTCCAGCAAGCACCAGTTTCTGTTCTTGCACAGCCTACAGTG